AAGTTCTTTTACGACAAATTATCTACTGAACCATATTTGAAAAAAAATTAATTGAGCTATGCAATAATTTTTTTAAAATAAGTCCACAAAAAATAAATAATTTGCATATATAAGTCATTTTTTCTAAATATGTCAAAGACAACATTTGCATTCCGGGCAGACAAATTATGGCATTTTTAATGCGGAATCTGGTGAGAGTATTCAAAGACATCTAAATGAATCAGATTTGAATTTAAATAACGACCTCATTACTGTTAAACCAAATACTGATTTTTCTATGAAGGAAAAACTTGATTATTTTCTTTAAAAACAAACAGACAAGAATAAAGGGATAACTGTTTTAAAAGAAAGTAACACAAAAGGTCTAAAAGAAGTTATAAAAAAAGAGTTAGAGTACTTTCGACAAAAAAGATATACAAGGGAAGTATATTCAAATAGTTTTTGACTATTTGATGACCATTTGTCAAATGTTGAACCTGAAAGAGTATTTTCAGGAACTGGACTAATTTGTATAAATATTAGATCTTGATTAGGAGACAAGACATGGTAATTTATAAAAGCTTTATTGATTTATTGAAATGTAAAGTTTATTGGTAATTTACCGATTTACCAGTACAATTTTCATTTACCGAATTACTGGTAAATCAAAAAGTCGGTAAATTTACAATCCCTAATTAAGACCAAAATGTTATTTTTAAAAAAGTAAGAAAAAAAATAAATTTCATGAAAATCAAAAAGCATTTGATGAAATAAATAATAGCAAGTTCAGGTGCCTTTATACAAATGCTCCCTCAATAAACTCAAATAAAGTAATTGAACTATCAGTATTAGCGCCAAAACACAAACTTCTTTTTTATCACTGAAAGTTCAAAGAAGATTCTTCAATGAAAATTGAAAGTTATTATTTACACAAATTCAACAGAAATAACAATATTTCAAACAAAAGTAATTGTGGTGTTGTAGCAATATATGTTCAGGACAATATATTGTCATTTGAAATTAAGAACTCAACAATGAATATTAAAAAATTTAAACAAATTTGGTACTTTGTAAAGTATGGAGTTGAAACAATCAAGATTGGATGTATTTATCGTCCACTATCAAAATCAAAAGTTATTTATAATGACGAAAAAACATGTTACAACAAACACATAAATAGTGAGATGTCAAACCAAGCTGATGATGAAATAATCAATTATTTAAGTATTAAATAATTAACTAGTATAAATAATTTTATTAAGTATATAAATAGAAAAAAATGAACTATACAGTAAAATATACATCCCGTATACTCATATGTGGCGATTTCAATTTTACATGGCATGAAGATGGTTTTGTTCAAGTAAATGGTAGTAAAAACAGTATTGGTGTTAGAATTATTGATCTTAGTAAAGATATAGACATCATTCAAAGCGTAATATTTCCTACACTCAGCCAAGCAAATAAAATGAATAAAAATATACTGGATCTTGTCATAATGGAATCATCAGACCAAAACCAAAACATAGAGAATTTATTACCGTTTGGATTGACTTGTCAAGGCCATTTAGTACTAAAATTTAATTATAATTTATTGTGTAATAATAACAAATTTAATTATTCAACATTCAAGTGCAATTATCATAAAAGTGATTTCAATCCCATGATTAAATATTTTCAAAATGATGATTAGTCAAAAGAGTTCAGTAACTTAAATATAAATGCTTTATTAAATATAAAAAATTTATTAAAAATAAAAATAGAAAAAATTTATTAAATATAAAAACTTAAATATGAGCTTGTTGAACAATACAAAATATACCAGAGCAAACAAGTTGTCAAAGCATACAAAAAAGTAAAACCTTTCTTACAAATACAAAAAAGATTAACAATTAAACTGAAAACTAAACTATGTTTAATTAAAATCAAACATTCCAAAGATTTGTTTAGTTATGCTAATAGCTCACACAAAATCAAACAAAGCATCAAACCAATTTGAAATAAATTTGGAGTTATTGGGACAGATGACAGATTTATTGCTGACGCATTTAATGATCAATTCATATCAGTCTTTAATAATTATTCAGTTAATAAAACTTTTTACTACTTCCGGATAGTACAACTAAACGTTTATCAAGTCTTCATTTTTCAAAAGATGTCATCGAAAGAAAATTCAAAATATAAACCCAAATAAAGCAACTGGACTGGACATGTCCATCCACTGGACTGACTGTCTATCCACTGATATGTTAAAACAATGAGCTGATGTATTACCTTTCACAATTTTATTTAAAAAATCACTGTTAGAAAGATCGATTACTTATGTATGATGTAATTCAAATGTCACCCCATTATTTAAAAAAGGTGATACTAGTGAACCAAGTAATCAGTTTCTCTTACATTTATTCCATGTAAATTAATGGAAAGCTTAGTAGCCATTAGCATTTTAAATTATATATCAAAAATAAATTTGTTGTCTCAATCTCAACATGGTTTTATAAAGAACAAAGTGTTACAAATGTGTTACAAACTTATTAGAATCCAATAATTATATTACAAAATGCTTAGCTAACAAAAATCCAGTAGATGCGACATTTCTGGACTTTTGAAAAGCATTTGACACAATCTCTCACACCTTATTAATTCTCAAGCTGAAAGCTTATGGTGTTGTGGGAGACCTTCTTGATTGGATTATAGATTTTTTCACTAATAAAATACAGAGAGTAATACTTGAAGAACACATTTCTGACTGGGCTCATGTTACTAGCGGTAAATAATGATTCTACTGACATTTAAACTGATTTAAAATCACTAAATGGACAAACGTTTGGTTGATGAAGCTCAAACGTGAAAAATTTATGAAGAAACAACCCATGCACTATTCATTTCAAGATCAACTATTTAAATTGCGATTTGGGAAAATCAAACATAAAAAAAAATCTTAGTATATTTGTTTCAAGTGATGCTAAATATTTTCCCCAAGTTATTCATGCTAGTAATAAAGTTATCAGAATGCTTAAAAAAGTGTCTTTAAAAGGTTAATCATAACTGTTGAAAAAACAATTTTTTTAGCAATTTTTTTTCTAACAAACTCATTGTGTTGCTAAACTGTTTTCTTTTGACTGTAATGGATAAATACAACTCATAGCTTTTTTTCATTTCATTGTAATACACTTTAGCATTAACAAAAGAAAAATTAACTAAAATCTCATATTATCTAAAGTTTGACTTTAGATTTAGTTCAATTTAGAATTTTGTTTTAGTCAAACATTCGTTAAGTCAAACCAATTTCTTTGATCCTTTGGAGGTTTAAGTTATCGAGAATTGTAACAACAATTTAAATTAGTTGCCTAAACAATAAGTCTGTTGAATTTTGCAAGAAGTAAAACTTTGCAAGTCTGTTGAATTTTGTAAAAAGTAAAATTTAGTAAAAAATTTCTGCAGATGAAAAGTTGCTTTAGTATTTGTAAAAGATAAACTAAAACAAAATGGTGGTAACCAATAGTTTTTTAATATTTTTTAGAGAGACTTAAGCATTGTTATTTCTTGGTCACCTAAGAAATAAACTATGCAATTGCCTTATTCTTTTTAATTAACCCAAATTTGTAAAAAAGAAAAAAGGGATTCCTACTAGACAGCAGACCAAGTGGTAGGTATATTGGATAACGATTAACAATTGTTAAAGATAACAATTGAAAGATGACCTAGAAGATTGTAAATAATATAAACTAGGATATAATATATATGCTAGCTCTTTAGAGCAGTGCCCATTATAGTATTTATAGAAATGAGAACGAGAAGCAACATTACGACGATGTGATAATGATTGGAGATTGGCTGCAAGAGTAGGTCCAACAATGTTTACAATGAGTTATTGCACTTTGTCTAAAAAAGAAAGTGCATCATTGGAAGATCCACTCCAGATAAGGCAACAATATTCTATACAAGGATGGATTTGAGAATTATAGAGATAAAAAATAGAATCCAGATTAAGAAAGTGGCAAACACGATAGAGATGCAACTTTAGCAGATACTAATTTTGCAATCGATTTAATATATGGCTTTTAAGAAAGATCAGAAGAGTTAATCCTAAATGACTCATAGAGTACATTACCATTCATAAATATTGGAAGATCTAGATTATTGAGATAACGATTAACTAAAAAAAATTTAGTTATATCTGAGTTAAAGTTCACCAACCACTGAGAGCTCTATGCTGTAGCATAGAGCTCTCAGCTCTCTAATTTATTATAATATAATAATATATAATCATCATGTGATGATTATATATTATGCAGCATAATATTCACTTCCGCTACAGCATAATGCTGTAGCGGAAGTGCAAAAAGCGGAAGTGAGATCCTTTTCAAGCAAAAACTGGCCCTACAAGCAATCAGAGAGAGTTGGCTTCTTATCATGACAAAAATAGATGGTAGTATCATCAGTGAACAATGCCACCTTAGATGTGAGAATTTCTGAAAGATTGTTAATTTAAACTAAAAAAAAGAGTATAGGGCCAAGGATAGAACCTTGAGGAACCCTTGAAGCTACAGGATATGAAAAAGAGTGTTTTATACTATGAGACACCTGTACTTTCATACTATGAGACTACCTGTAGACATTTTTATTTGATTTTTATTTGGCTATTTTATTATACTTCTAAATTTCATCATGTTGTTTGAAATTAAAGTTTTTATTTAATTTCAAAATTAAAAATTGCAGAAATTAATTATATTCTTTTTATCATTTTCTTTTGTTTAGGATAATTATTCTTTATTCTTTGAAATGAAAAAAAATGAAAAAAAGAAAAAAAAAATACAAGTTCAATTGATTTTCTTTTGAATTTAAAATTTGATTGGTTTAGTTTAAAAAAACTTGATGAAACAAATTTAATTTTGATTTAATTTTGATGAGACAAATTTTGTAACAATTTTATTTGCTATTTAAATTTATGCAAAAAGCATAAAGTTATAAAATGAACCATTTAAATTAACTAAAAAAAATTTTGAAAACAAACATACCATATAACCAAATATTTCTGAAGAGCTTTTAATATGAGGAAGAATTTCTTTTGGAATTTGAAAAAAGCTGTAAAAAGTAAAAAAGATACATATGCAATACTTTTAAAATAAATAAATAAAAGAGAAAATAGAAAAAAAGAAGAAAATAAAAAAGAATACGAAAGAAGTATTAAAAAGGTTCTCCCTTCTATTTTTCTTTTTTTTCTTTTTTAAAACTGTTATTTACCAAGATATAATCTTGTGTAGTTGTATAGCAAATTAAATTTATAAAAAGTTCAATTACCTTAAAAAAGCAACTTTATATTAATTATATTATATTGTTTATATTATACTTAACTTTCTTCAAAATAATTGCATATCACAAAAAATATATATAAAACCTTTACTAATTTTATATAATTTGATTAATAAAAACAATTTAATTTACCAGTATCCTGCTATTTCTATTTTAGATTAGTTGTAAAAATAAACTTTTTTCATATTTAAGCTCAACAACATTTAGTTCTTTATAATTTAACTTTATAATTTAAACTACTTTTGGATTAATATTATTAATGAAATTTACTACACATTTCTTTAAAAACCACTTGTTACATCAATTGCTTTATAAGATCATGAATTATTATTCTTAATTTTAAATCATACACTAGAAGACTAGTAGATGAAAACTCAGAATGAGTTTCAAGGTTCAAATCCACTCCATGCTCCTGGAAGTACTGCACTCAGCCTGCTTCTGTGTGCAACCTTTTTAAACAAGGTTTGTGCTTCAAAGTTTTTTTTCAAAATTCAAAGGGTCGAGAGTTTCAAATAAAAATATAAAAATTTTATTTTATATCCTTATCAAAATTATATCCTCGTTGACTGTAAATAGTAAATAATAAACTGTAGCAGTCATTAGTAAAAAAACCTGTGCCCGCTACAGCTTTGGAAAATTTAATTGAAAAAAACATAAAAAATTCTAAAAAATTTTTCTTTGCCATCTGTGTAAAGCTTTGTATTATTATAAAACATATTTTCCAATGAAAAACAGTAAATGCTTAATGACAGATCCTTGTGACTCTCGGCTGTATGCCCTTCTGTAAAAAAATATACTTTGTCCTAAGTTGACTCTATTTTTGAATGAACTCTATTTTTTTTCAAAATCGTTTTATTCATTTTAACTTACATGCACAAACATCAAGCCTACACAGTTTTAGCTAAAGACTTGCATGTGCTGTAAACAGAATTCATACAATTAGAATGTTTATTGATAAATAATATAACAATACTACTCTGGTAGTTGACACTTAGATGTTTCCATTAAATTAGTGATTTATAATCCAAAATTTAACTAGGTAGCAATGCTAATGAAACAAGACTATAGTTTCAAATCATTTTAATTATTACCAGCAAAACAAATGATTGAATTATTTGATATGATTCATTGTCAAGTTTTTTTTTTTAAAGTAAAAATAAAAAGCAAAATTTTTTCAAAAGTTAAAAAAATTTTATTTCAAATTATTTTATTTAATTTTTTATTTCCTTCTCTTTTGTGCATGTAGTTTTTTAACCTTAAATTATTTACAAATATTCCAAAAAAATTTTATGTTTTGAAATTTCATATCTAATTTATTTTTAAAGTAAGCTTTATTTACAGTATTAAAAGATTTTGTAATTTTTATTTAAACTATATTTATTAGATACTTTTTACTTAAAACAAAAAATATTTCTTTTATTTCTACTCACACAAACTCTATATATAAAAGAATAAATCAAAATATAAATGTTCGGTAGAGCGAGGCAGTCAAAAATAGTTTTCTTTTAAACAAACATTTGTAACCAATTTCAATTTTAATTTAATATTACAATAATTAAAAAAGTGTTAAATATTAATTATTCCATTACATTAATAATTGTAATTTAAAAAACCTGCACAAATCATCATCCCATTTACATGTATTAATATTCATCAACATAGTACGGCTTGCATTAGTTACATCAGTGGCATGTACTCCACCATCAACTCCACCACTTAAATTCTAAAAAATAAATTTTCAAATAATACTGTTTATATTGTTAAATTTAAACAATGATGGACATTTTAATTTTTAAAAACTTTTCAAAATTAGATATTGATATTTTTTCATACCCAAAGTAACCAGGAATCTACGGTGCCAAAAAGACATCGCCTTTCTTTAACTGCAAAACAAACATCTTTGCAATTATCAAGCAACCAACGCAACTTAACTCCACTAAAATAAGTGGAAAAAGGAAGCCCACATACTTTCTAAAAACAAAAAAAAAAGTGTAAATTTATCTCAATTATCATTTCCTAATAACTATTTACATTTATTTGTAAATTCATTTTAATATTTGGTAATCAAATTTATTAAAACAAACGAAAAATGATAATTAATCTAAAAAAAAAATTTTTTTCAATTATTTAAAAACTTCAGCTAATGATCAATTTATTTACTGCAAAAGATAATTCAATTTTGCTTTTTTTTATTGTCTCCTTCAAATTAAGTCAACAATTTATTTTAAGATTCCCTTTTTTTTTGAATAATATTTAATACAGAAACTGGTGTTACTGGTAACTGAAAAAATTCAAAGGTTAGACTGAAGAAGTTAGCAAGAGGAAAAAGTTTTTCCTCTTGCTAACTTATACAAGTTTAATTTTTGTGCAACTTTAAAAATTAATATTTCAGACATAACATCTAATGTAGCTCTCACATAAAATCTTTTTTCGCATAATGAGAACATTTTCAACATTATGTTGTTGCAACTGCTCTGTACAAATATCAAGTAAATTAAGGTATTATTCAGAAGAAAATTATAAACTATTGATGTTTAAGGATTTATACAGAATAAATTTTCAAACCATTGATGTTTTAGGTATAACTAATACTAATACACATAAATAACTAATTATAACCAATATTAATAGATGTAAATGGAATGATGGTTTTTGCAGTTTTTTTTAATTACAATTATTAATCTATTTTAATAACTAATTTTTAATACTTTTTTAATTATTGTACTACCAAATAAAAATTAAAGTATTTTACAAATATTTGTTTGAATTCAAGTTATTTTTAATTCACTAAACCAAACATTTATATTTTGTTATAATGAAACTTCTATTGGTGCTAAAGGAAATAACTATTGGTGCTTAAGGAAATAACTATTGGTGCTTTATTATTAACACCTATTGGTGTTTAAGGAAAAGAAAATAAAAAAATAAAAGTTTTTTTTCACTTAAAAAAAAAAGTGCTTCCAAAAATGTCAATGAAATTCAGATTAACATTAAATTAATCACATGATCACACATTTAAATATTTACATAATCTGTGGTAACGCCTTTAATTAGTCACATGATCTGTGGCAAGACATATTAGTAAATAAAAGGCAGAATTTCGAATTTAAGAAGATTTTATAACTGGTGTTCTTATTTCTATGAAAGAAATTTTCAAAAAATTGTCAATCACTTTCTAATCAAACCTCAGAGGGTTATTTCTTTAATTTCATCATCAAATTGATTTAAAGATTTTAAATCTTTATATATATGATATCTAATATTTGATGTTTGACTTGATATCTAATGATATATCAATATATGATTTAATATCTAATGATAGATGAATGTTTGTTATATCATTAGGGGCTGTCAGTAAATGATATCAGTGATTTTTCTCACTTTTTTGCCCCCTCCCCCTCCCCCTTTGTCAAACTGTCAATTTTTTGCTGACCCCCCCCCCCCCCTTATATATGATGTCAGTTTTTGTACCCCTTTCCTAAAGTAACATTAAAAATATGTGTTAAAACCATTGCTTTTTTTCCGGTTAAATTATAAATTTATAAAATAGTAGATCTCAGCAAGTTATATTATAGAACAGTTGATACCTCATCAAATAATGAACAAACTAATCAAATTTTTATTCTATATCTATAAAATAAATTAAATCACTCATCAACTTCCCATGAGTTGTTGAAGCAATCTTCAATAATAATGATGATTGTATTTGAAATAATGACAAATGACTTTATTTGTTTGCTTTGAAGTGCATTTATAATCCGCTAGGGATCGAATAATGATTGTTAAATTTATATACAAATTGTTGATATTTGTAAACATTTAGATTTTCAGTCAAATGGTAATACAATAATAGAACGTTGGTAAATTTTTAATTTATTTCATGTCTCTAAGAAACTTGCATTGAAGTCCCCACAAAGCAAATATGCTATTTCTATACTACTTTGTAGATGTAAATGCCTTTAAAATCTGCTCATATAAACTTGAATTTTTTTTTCTTAAATTGATATCATTTTGGTCTCAGCCCCTCCCCCCCCCCCCCCCCCATTGTCTATTCTTGTCAAATTTTTCAGTACCACCTCCCCCCCCCCCTTATATTTACTGACATCATTTATGGATGGCCCCTTAGATATCAATAAAGATAAAATTAGATAAAAAAAACTTTTCCTTACTTGAAATGAACTCATTGACTTATCTGCAGTTTTTTCAATTAGTTTCTCAACAGTTTCTTTAGTCCTAGCATCTAACCAAACTATAAGTGAAAATTTTGAAAAAATTAAAAAAACTAATTGAGATTGCAATTATAACATTAGTAAAACAAGTTAAATTAAAAAGTTGAATTAATGAGTTGAATGAACAAATGACAAATTCTTATAATTTTAATTTATAAAAAAAGTTTTTTTGAAAAAACCTCTCAGATATATATATTTTCTAATCCTATTCATTTATAGTTAAATTATTGTTTATAATATCTTTACTACAGTTATTGTAATGTAGTACAATATTATAATATAATATTACAAATAGTACAATATTATAGATTAAAATACTTATTGCTGGGTATAGAGGTTCTCCAGTCTTGCTGTCCCAAACAATTGTAGTTTCACGCTGATTGGTGATACCAATGGCTTTTATTTGTAAAATATCTAAACCTTTTTGCTTCATATTGGAAACAACACTTTCAATGCATAGTAAAACTGAGTCTAGAATTTCTTTTGGATCTTGTTGGCACCATCTGGAAATAAAAAAAAATATTAAAAATTTCAGATATTATTAAACATAATATAAATAACTATAAAATTATACCTTTAAAAAATAAATACCTATAAAAAAGTTGATAATATAAAGAAATAATATAAAGATATACTAAAATAATTTACAGAAATAAATTGGAGAAGTTAAAAAGTATTAAAGATATAAAAGTTGTTTATAATTTGGTAATTTGGTAACTACGTATAGAAGCAGTGAATGCTGAGTAATTTAATATCTTTTAAGAATTGATAAAATTGTGTTTATTTGCTTGCAGATTTCCTAAATGAATATAATTCTATAATTGGATTGTATTATTCATAATAAATTAATTCAATGCAATTTTTCATTTTCAATTCTTCATTGTATTCAACAATTTTGTTTTTTGAGTTTTTGTTGTTTAATGATTTTATATTTTTTAACAATTTTACATATGTTAAACTAAGAGTTTTTGTATTTTATCAATAAAAGTTTTTAAATATCTGTTTTCAGTTTCCAGCCCCCTACTATAAAGTATTTTTTTATATCATCATAGTTATATTTATTTCTTTTAAATCAATTAAACACGGATATCAAACCAAGACCTTTAACCTTAGTTTTCTTTATTAAAAGTAAATATAAGTTAATTTGAATTTATTGTAATTCATTTTAAATTTTATTTTGAATTTCAGTTAATTTATTTTGAATTTATTGTTTACTAAAGACTCTCTAAAGTTTTACCAATTATTAAACAAATATGTAAGGGTGTATAAAAAAGGGTGTATATGAGGACTTTCCTTTCTTAGATTTAGTTTAGTTAAATCAGTTTTATTTCCTTTTAAAGAAATTTTGATTTCATTGCTAGTATATTGAAAATATTTAGTATGATATTTTTTTATATATTTTCCTAAATATTGAGGAATAAAAAAATCATTAAATGAATTTTGCTTCTATGTATTAAAAACAAGAATTAAGTCTGTATTAAAAAAAACTTTTATTACAAAATTTCAGTTGAGATATCATAACCTTTATAAAACTTCAGTATGAAAAAAATAATTTTGACAAAGTTTAATATAAGAATTACCAATATAGAAAGTCACAAAAGTTAAAAAAAACATGAAAAAAACTCTACAAAAATTAACTTAATAAAATTTTCAACCTAATAACATTCATGTAACAAAAATAAAACATCTCTTCATATTCTTTCTATTATAAATAACAAAAGTTCAATTTTTTTTTTTTTTAGATTTTTCTGAGCTTTTTACTTTTATTCTTTTCTTCTGTTTTTTTTTTTTTTTTGCCATTTTTTTGTGTTCAAGCATCCATCAAAGTGAGCAAAAATGTGAACACTTAAAGTGAGAACACAAACAGAACACAAACAGAATAGTCTGCAAAACAGTGATTAAAATACAATAGAGCTGACTGGGGTCATCTAAGCTGTACTTAAATTTGCAATCACCCAATATAAGGAAATGAAAAAGGGTAACTACCACAACAAAGCAGAACTTGCACAAATTTAAACATATGATGACTAAATCCACCCAAACAAGTAGCCATCAACAAATTAATCTATGAGAAAAAAAAAGAATAAAGAGCTTGTCAAGGCTAAAAGCTTGCAATTGCCCTTTTGCTGGATCATCTACAGATGTACTGGGTCTGTGCAATGCATTGATGTCAAACAATCCAGTAACAAAAAGAAGTGTTCGTAGATCAGTAAAGATCAATCTGGCAAAATATAATCATTCACCCCCTCTATAAAACAACATTATTCCAAAATCTGCTGCAATTTCTGTTGCCACATATACTTAATCTTCAATATTTTGTCACTAAAGTAAAGCCAATTGCAAACAACTCAACTTTTTAGCAAATAATCTACACTCACTCAATGATGCCAAATGAGATGAATTGATGGCAAAAATAGACACTAATCAGCAGACAAACTAAACTTGCTCTTCTTTTTTACAGAGTTATGGTTCACTAACACATCAGACATTCAACTACCAAACTACCAGGCAAACAAAAAAAAAACAGAGGAGGTGCGACAATATATAAAAGATGATATACTAGTAACTGATACAAATGTAAAGTATTTAAGCTCATCTGACAATTGGTACAGCAAAGCAAAGTATCTTAACACTGGAATCCCCATCCATGTTAATCTATAGAGACTTTAAGCCATGCAACATACAAAGAGCTTAACTAGGAACGTCAGGATGGCACACCAGCAACAGTTGCTCACATGCAAAAAGAGCATCAAAGTAAACTAATGTTATAACAATGTCTAAATGTGAACTTAAGTAAAAAAAACACTAGGCAATCTCAGCACAAATAATAGCCTTTTATGATAAGGCAATCAAAATCTATATACAGTAGCGGCACAAAGTAAGGACAAATCCAGCAGAAATTAAATTACTGCAAATTTTGTCCAAATAATTACCAGATGAAAGCGTTATAGCTACATTTATTGATCTCTGTTGTGTTGACACGTCTTTGCACATCTTTGCACTTCCTGTTTACGTTAGCAACAAGCACATATTTTTTTTTGATAAATTAATATAACACATTGGAAAGTTGTTTATCATCTTTTAAGCATAGGAAACAAGACAGTAGAGGTAAGTGATGTGCCTTTATTGTGATATTAATGTCATCATTACTTATTGGTAAAAAATATATGTTTATAATATTACCAATCACATATTGAGTCAGTATACACCATTTAAGGTCATTTAAGGTCATCTAAAGCCCAATGTGGTTTATGAGAACCAGCAGTCAAGGGTAACTATTGAGTTTTAAGGTATTCTCAACCAAGTTTTTTTACTTTTGCCAATTTTCTATCAAAATGGAAGCATCTGCTTCCATTTTGACAGCTTCACTATCAGTATTAATATTATTTTGTCTGTTTTAGTTTAATTTAATGATCTAATATCAGTATTTTTTATTGTAGAAAAAATGGTAAAATATCGTCGCTTGTCGCAGGAAGAGCGCCTCCGTGCTGTTTTCATGGCAGAAAATGGTGAAAATTATAGTAAAATTGCAACAATTTTGAGTTCTACTGCAAGCGGCATCAGGAATATTGTTAAGAAATATCAGAATTCAGGTTCTACAGCAGACAAGGCACGTTCCAGAAAGCCAAAGAAGACGACGGCTCATACCGATCGGGTGCTGGTCCGCATGTCACTTCAGGATCATCGCCTGACTGCATCACAACTAAGCCGGAGTCTATATTTGTCATTATGGATCAAATACCAAACTTGGGAAACTGTATATAAGTGAAGTGTGAGTTAATTGCTAATCTCTCACAACAATTTAGGACTAAGCCATTAGTGATGAACTGTGATTTTTTTATTAATTTTATGAACCGCATAGTCAAAGTATGGATTGTTTTTCTATCAAGCATCAATGCTTTTTTAACTGATGCATTCAAAAGCTGTTTTGACATACTAACAACATAAGCATTGACTCACCATAATTCTAATAATTATCTGCATAAAGGTGAAAACATAATGGTGAAATTAGAAACATCTTTATGCTGACAAAAGTACCTCTTCGTCATCATACTATAAACATTTTATTTTTTATTGATTTAACTTGATATAAATATTATTGATTTCTGATTTAAAAAATTATAAAAAATAAAAATTGAAGTATTAAAAGATACAATAATAATAATATATAAACGCCATGTTAAATTTTTTACAGACAAAACAAGAAATTGAAATGTATTTGATTAAGTCTAGTTTAACTTTAAATAATTTGATTCTTTAAACTTATTTTGTTTAAGTTGGTAATATTTAGAATTTGACTATACAATTTGTAAAAAAGCCCTAATGATTTAGATATTTCCTTATCAGCAAATAAATGATATTTGTTATTTGAGATTATACCTGAAACACTTAAAGAGCCCAAATGCTGTGGAGGTTGTTTTTTTCAAAATCTTCACTTCCAAAAAAGCTGCAAGCAACCACTATTAGAGTTAGAAGTTACTGGAAGAGAATAGATGAAGTTTATAGAGCAAGATAACAATTAACAGACAACTTAAAAGATTTCAAACTTTATGAATCAAGAAAACAAAATAAAAGATGTAAATTTTAAAGAACTAATGTTTGAAGAAAAAAACTAGATGAATAAGAACTTTTGGAGCACTTAGGAACAGTCACATTAAAAAGATGAGACAACTGAATAAGGAGTAATATGAGAATGAATTTTAGTAGATGGCACAAGAGATGCTAGCTCTTTAGTGCTCATTATAGTATTTATAGAATAGAGAAAGAGAAAGAGAAGCAACATTACAACGATGTGAAAGTGGTTGGAGGTTGGCTGCAAATCCAATTATGTTTACAATGCAACCTTAGCTGATGCTAATTTTTATTTGATTTATGGTTAGATTTGATATATGGTTTCCAAGAAAGTTTAAGAAAAAGTTAATTCTATAAGATGAAGGGTAGATGACTCATCAAGTACATTACTGTTCATAAATATATGAAGATCTAGATTATTGCGATAACAATTAGCTGAAAATTTTTTTATCTGAGTTAAAGTTTATCAGCCACTGAAAGCCTTATGCTGTAGCAGAAGTGAGATTCTTTACAAGCTCAAATCCCCCCTCCAAGCAATCAGAGAGTGTTGGCTTCTTATCAAGACAAGAATTGATGGTAGTATCATCAGTGAACAATGCCACATTAGGTATAAGAATTTCTAAAAGATGGTTAATGTAAATTAAAAGAATGTAGGATAGAACCTTGAGGAACCCCTGACGTTAGAGGATATGAAAAGTGCTGTCCATTGAGGACAAATTTTATACAATGACTGGTAAGGAAGGATTTAATAATCTTAAATATATAACCTGATACACTGTATGAAAAAAGCTTATGGAGAAGACCAGCACACCAAACTTTATCAAAAGCTTTAAAAATGTTGAGAGGGATGGCTTTAAACTTTCCACATCTATCTAATGCATGATAAAACGTATTGGTTATTACTGTAAGAAAGTCTGCTGTAAAACAAGAAGATCAAAATTAATATTAATTATCAGAAAGAAAGTTATATTCAAGATGAGAGATTAAGTGTCTGTTAATTAAAGACTAAAAAATCTTGCTTATGATAGGAAGAGGACTGATAGGACAGTAGTTAGACGAGTCAGATCGCACTCCTAATCTTTCTAAGTTATTTTCTCCATATCATTATACTATTTATACCTTTGTATGAGATACTTGTTGTTTTAAAAATGTCAAAATGTTTTTTAGTTTTTCATGAATTCAAGTTTTAAGCGTCATTGCAGGGAAGGAAAAATGGTCAACTAAAAAAAAAGTGAGGAAAACCTATAACACATAGATTAGGTCATGATTTAGATCATCTAGATGTCATCTGAAATTGCTGTCATCTGTAGCAGACAGCAATATTAACTTCTGTTGTTGGTGTTAATTGTTTACAATTTTGAAAATTTTATTTAGACCAGCAAAAAGCATTTTCATGATTAACTGCTAGAGCTACAGAGACTTTTCTGTATTTAACATTGGATTAACTTTTCTGTATTTAACATTGGATTAATAGTGGTTATTCATTATTAAATTACCTAAAGCTGTTACTTAATTTTTTTTTTTTTTTTCAATAATCATTTTTAAAAGTTTCAAATTAAAACCTTTAAAAATTTTAAATTAAAACTTTTAAAAGTTTTAATTTTAAAATTTTAAAAGTCTCCTAAAGAACAAATAGAAAACAAAATAAAAACAAAAAAAATTTAATGTGATATATCTTTTTTATGAAATTTTTTTTTGATGGGCCTTATTATAAATCGAACCAGGCATCAGAATTTTTTTATTACCAACAAATTCGGAATGGCAACATTATAATAAACTAGAAAAACAAAAAATTATCAATTTTGTTCAATATATAAATTTATGATGCTGTGCACACAAACAATATTTTAAATCTAGAAATCATTGTATATAAAAAAAAAATTTACCCTTCTTGTTGATAAACACTGTGAGTTTCTACTTGGTGTGAAGCTATCAAATCACCTGTCTCTGCTGAAAACACCTGAAAAAATAATTTTAATATAAACTAATTTTAAATTATTTATAATTAACATATCAAATGCATAATATTTTAAATTGACCAGGTACTAAAGAATCTAATTATAAGACTATATTGTTAGCTAGATGTATTTATTAAATATATTATGCACAAATAAATGTATACAATAGATACATTGATTATGCATAAAATAAATGATTTACAATAAAGTTAATGAAAAAATGAAAGTTACAAGAAATCTTGAACTTGATGTTCCTTGATCAATTGCTCCAACATAGCTCATTCTATTACTTAGTAAAATATAAATAAATAGAAATAATTAAAATATAAATAAGTAAATTATAATAGTGATAAAATATAAATAAGTAAAATTATAATAGTATGTATAAAAACTATTTATAATTAAAATCTGTAAAATACAACACAAAAAAATTTCAGACAAATTAAAAAAATTTAACTTAAAAAAAATAATAATATTTACCATAAATAATAATTTAAATATAAAAACATTTTATAACTTTCATTTAGTTAAAATATAAAGATAAAAAAATTATTTGAATAGAAAATTAATTTATTAAATAACTTGAAATAAAACTTTGTTTTATCTATCTTTTGTTGTGTGACCACATCATCTAAAGTCCACTGTGGAATACTAAAATAAAGATACTATTATAAAATTTTTTTTTTGAATATTTTTGCTTTAATTAAATATTAAACAAAATTCTGTATTATTATTTAATTATTATTCAATAAATACACATACATGTGTGCATGTGCACATGTGTGTAAGTGTATAAGCCTGATGATATTGGCAAAATTGCTGTTGTAACTGAAAGATTCAAATGTGTATTAGTTGAAGGCAAGAATGCAAGGGCTATTACTCTTGACATATCAAAAGCTTCCAATTAAATTTGGCATGATAGTCAACATATGGTCTGGGAAACATTTAGAGATCATTAACCATTTTTTTCTCACCACAATATGAAAGTCATTCTCAAAGCCAACACTCTCCTTTATTTGCAATAACTTCTGGGGTACCTAAAGATTCTACCCTTGGCCCTGTATTGTTTCTTACCTAAATTAATGATCTTCCTGACAATCTTTCATCTAAAGTTGCTCTATTAGCTGACACTCTTATACTCCAGTCTTGACCAAAAAACTCCTTTTTTTCAATCACCTAGAACAGGAAGCTGATCTTGAATTTACACTCTTGTCTGTAACTTGGGGATTGCAGTAACTTTTAAGTCCAACAAAACTCAGTTATTTACAGGAAACAACTATCACAATATTGTTGACTTTCCTATTTTAATGAATGGTAACCCTCTCAATTAATCCTCTGCTTTACAGCTTCTTTGATTTTTATTCACTACTGACTTCTTATGAAAACCATACATAGAATTGATTGCAAAGTTAGAATTTGTTAAGCTTCTATTTATTTTGCTTTCCATTATTTTAATCTTGATTCCATTTCTACCTCTACAAATCTCTTATTTATACATGTATGGAACTTTCATTTTTGGTTTTTCTAAAAATAATCTTTCTTTTTTAGTCCAAGTCCAAAAACACATTGTAGAAATAGTTGGATCTTTTTACTGAAGTTCTCCTTTCATGTTCTAAAAACTTTTATTATTTTAGCTTTTTTTTTTTTCACTTTAATGCTAAACTCTCTTCCATTCTCATGTTTTTCAGGTCATACCACCTTTAATTTATCAAATCTTCTGTCAATTGTTTCCTTTTTCTTTAACACTATTCTTTGTTTTTGAGTAACTCCTAATTAATGGTACTCCTAAATAGTAGTACACTTATTGTGTAACATTTACTTATTGTGTAGCATTATGGATCCTCTTAAAACAGTAAAAATTATAAGAAATGTAATACTTATTTTTGACATACATAGGATGACAAAAGATATCTTTTATAAAAATAGCTCAACTTATCAATAACATCTAAAAAATAACATTCATTAAAATAAATGTTCTTTTATAAGCATAAACTATAAAAAAATATTGTGTTCAGAAAAACTCATTGCCATTTGAACTTGTTTATAATTAAGTGATTTTTTTTTTGATAAATAATTTACTTGTATGTTATAAACCTACAAGCATACCTGTTTCTTTATAAACCAATGTTAAATGCTTCTTCCTTAACCAAATCATTAGGATTTGCATTTCTTTTTATATAAGGATACTTAATTTCAATTAAATATGCTTTTTTTATATAGTTCTTCTTTTTATTTTACTATGCTAGCTCAGTTATTATTACAGTCATTTTAAATTTAAACATATATGGAATAGATTTAAACATATAAAAGAGTATACCCAATATTAAGAGTAACTCTGTAGTTACTTTTAGTTTAAAAAAGTGTTTAACTTAACACAAACTTTTACATGCTGCTTTAGAAATTATTTGAAATTTCTTTTTTCTAAAATCTTTAAATGAACTCAGTATTACCCGTTGCCCCACTTGTTACCCTTATCATTTTTTTCTGATTTTATAAACACTCTTACCTATTTTTTTGTAACAAATACTCTTGAATTAAAAAAATATTTGCAACGTGTATCTAAAATGCTTAAATAGACTAAGAACCACGTCAATTTTACCCCTTTGCCTCAATTATGACTCACCGCACTTTGTTTGGATTTTAAAAAAATACTTATTGTTGCAAGACAAATAAAAAAATAATAAATTAATATAAAAAAATTATAATAAAAAATTATAAAATAATAATAAAAATATAATAAAATAATAATAAAAATAATAAAATAATAATGAATATAAATTAATATAATAAAATAATAATAAAAAATTAATAAGAAAATTTTGATTTGAGTGACAAGACATAAAACCTGGCACTTTAGCCACCAGTGTGAATACTAAGACGAACGGAAGCAGTTTTTATCAGCAAATATCTTTATTTTAAAGTATATCTTTCATCGATTTTAATTCTATTTTCAAATCTCTATTTATATCTTTCAATACCAGCCGTTAAATTTGATTATTAAATTTTGAATTTTACTATTTGAATTTCATAATCAAATCCATTCATTTTTTTTATAAGATTATCTTAGATAATCTTTTAGAATTATTTTTTAAGTAGTTTATCCGGTATTTGTTTACAATTGTTTGTTTATCTCTGCGGTCTCGGGTTGCGAAAATGGTTACAAAGTCGAATTAAAATAAGGGATCGTCCATAAATTACGCAACGCAAAAAATATATTTTAAGAGCAGGAGTAGGAGATATTAGGCTCTTTTACGCGGCGATTTTCATTTCCTATTTTGATTGTTTATTTAATTTTCCCTCTGCTATGGAAAACTTTTGATCTTTTTTTGTTTTGTTTTTTGTGAAACTTTGCATTATGTAATTTATTGACGATCCCTAAGTAAAAAACATCAAAATCAAAAACATCAAAAGTTAAATTAGAATAATTATAAAAGGTCAAAAACAGCATCGTACTTACTAATTTTTCTTTTACGTGATATGGATGGTTAAGGGCCAAATCTGCCTATACAACAAAGTTGAAAAAAATGAGTTTATGTTAAAAAAAGATTTGTGTAGTGTTTTTTTACTAACACCAATATACAATGATTAAAATTTTTAAGTGCAAATAGTTTAAATTTTTTTGATTAAGTGGCTTCTGTTAAACTTGACTTTTAAACTTTGCGTCTAATTATCTCGTTTCAACATGATCGTTGTATAGGCAAGTTTGGCGCCTAACCATCCATATATTGGTCTATCTTGTATAGATTATCATGAGACGTAAATTGCCAACTTAAAAACCGTTACAAAATAAAATATTTAAAACCATACAATTCTTTATATTAATATATATTCATATTAATTATTAAATAAATTGGTATTTTATGTCTAATGATGGTATTTTACGTCTGATACAAATTAGACCTATTTAGAACTATTTGCACAAGCAAAAACTCATAGGCAAAATGGCTATTATGCAAAAGTTCTATATAATAAATTAATAGCTCACGAATTTAAGCAAAAAAATATAGATGTAGTTGAAATTTTGCCGACTATTTAAAAATAAGCAATATTATTTATATGAGTTCTTGAATAAGCTCTTGTTTTATCTTTTATTTTAATTTTTAAAAATGGCTAAAAAATTTTTTGCTAATAAAGATTTTAAAAATTTAAATTTTGATCCTTTTGAGGATTTTCTTAACTTTTCTGAAGATAATTTAAATATTACTAAAGAAACTGAAATGAATTTAATGAATACATCATATTTTGATCCTTATAATCTTAAAATTAAAAAAGATATTAATTCTTTTTCTATATTACATTTAAACATAAGAAGCATGCGTCAAAACTTTGAAAAATTTAAAGTATTTTTAAATATTATAAACTACACGTTCGACGTCATAGCTGTGTCAGAGACTTGGCATGAAACAGATAGTCCGGTTGAATCAAATTCTAATTACAGCTTTCCAAATTACAAAGTAATTAGCCAACCACGAAGTAATCATAAAAAAGGTGGAGGACTAGGATTTTACATACTTGAAAAATATATATTTAAGATAAAAAAAAATTATGCTTAGCAAATGAAAACTATGAAAATCTTTTTATTGAAATAATTATTAACAAAAATAAAAATACTATAATTGGGTTTGTTTACTGTCCACCATGTTGAGAACTCAGATTGTTTTAAAATTTTATTGAAAAGAGTGTTTTGAAAATAAATAAAGAAAAAAAACAATTATGTATATCCGGTGATATAAATTTAAACGCGCTGAATTACCACAACTTTCGAAAAACTAAATCGTTTTTTGAAATGTTGTTTAGATACAATGTTTTGCCAGTAATCAATAAACCTACTCGGTTGAATAAAACCTCAAAAACAGCAATTGATAATATACTTATTAACAATTACTTAGAAACGTCATTTCAGTCAGGCACTTTTAAAAACAGATATAGGCGATCATTTCCCGACCTACATTACTATTAAAAAAAAATAAATTAAATTTAGAAAATCAAATAAATTAAATTTAGAAAATTGGAATGATGTTTATAATTGTCATAATACAAACGAAGCTTTTAGTATTTTTTTAGCTAAATTTTTAGCGATATTCGACGAAACTTGTCCATATGAAGAAATACAAACTAAAACAAAAGCACTTAATAACCCTTGGATGAATAAAACATTTTTAAAGTGTTCTAAAAAAAAACAAAAACTATACAACAAATTCTTAAAAAATAAAAGTTCAGAGAATGAGAAAATATGCAAAAATTATAAGTGTTTTCATGAACTTCTTAAAAAACAAAAAATGTATTATAGTAAACAGATTAGCAATTCCAAGTTTGATGTTAAAAAAACATGCTCATTAATTAATGACATAATGGCCGAAGTCAAATAAAAAGTTCAGTATTATCTCAAAGAATTAATATTAATAAATCAGATATACTTTGTCCTTATAAAATATCTAACGAGTTTAATAAATACTTTACAAATGTTGGGATTAGTCTCGCAAACAAAATTATACCGACATCTACGTCATTTAAGACATATCTAAAAAAATCAACTGATGAAACAATGTATGATAGTGACTTAACTTTTCTTGAATTTGACGCAGAATATTTTTCTTTAAAAAAAAATAAGTCTCCAGGGTTTGATGAAATTTCCAGTAATATCCTACAAAAAAAGCATTACAAAACCTTTGTTCTATATAGTAAACCTATCTTTAGATCAAGGAGTATTTCCTGATATACTTAAACTTGCGAGAGTATACCCAATTTATAAAAATAATGATCGCGCCGACGTATCAAACTATAGACCCATATCGGTACTTTCTGTTTTCTCAAAAATCTTCGAACGTGTAGTTTATAATAGAATATTTGATTATTTTACAAAAAACAAATTTTTTAATCCAAAACAATTCGGATTTCAAAAAAAACATTCAACAGAACATGCCATTATTGAATTAATCGACCAAATAACTGATGGTTTTGAAAATGATAAGTTTACTCTCGGAGTATTCATAGATTTATCCAAGACATTCGACACCGTTGATCACTCTATTCTGTTAGAAAAACTAAAATGGTACGGGGTATGCAATAAATTATCATTGGATAAAAAGTTATCTATCTAATAGAAAACAGTATGTTCAAAACAAGAAATCTGGAATACTGAATATTCTGTGTGGAGTGCCTCAAGGATCGATCCTAGGACCGCTCTTTTTTTTAATTTATGTTAATGATTTTAATAATGCATCATTAAAACTAAATGCTATTATGTTTGCAGACGATACAAATCTATTTTTATCTAACTGCAATATTAATCAACTTTATGCTGACATGAACGTTAAATTAGAAATAGTAAATGATTGGTTCAGGTCAAATAAACTTTCTCTTAACGTTGAAAAAACACAATATACCTTGTTTCATAAAAAAACACAAGAAGAAAACCTTCCTCTAAAACTGCCAAAACTTATTATAAATTATAAACAAATAAAAAAACAAGATACTATAAAATTTTTAGGAGTTATTGTGGATGATCATTTATCATGGCTCCCACACATAAAATATATACAATCAAAAATTAGTAGAACCATTGATATAATGTATCGAACTCGCCCATACTTAAATTCACACAGTCTAAAGCTTATATACTTCAGCTTAATTCATTGTTACATTACTTATGCAAATATTACGTGGGCAAGTTGTCCACCAACAAAACTTAAAAAAATTCTTTCCTTACAAAAACATGCTTGTAGAATTATATACAACAAAAAAAGGGGGGACCACACTAAACCTTTAATGATGGATATGAAAATGATGAACATATATTAGATAAATATTTTCCAACACCTAAACTTTATGTATAAATATACCAATAATCTAACTCCTGAAATCTTCATAAGTAAATTTAATAAAAATTTAAATGAGAAGTATTTCTTAAGAATAAATCAAAGTAACACATACAAATTACCTAAAAAAGTAAACAAATACACAGAATATTGTATAACTTATAGAGGTCCCAAGCTATGGAACTCTTTTCTGAAAGACAATTTAAATATGGCAAAATCTTTAACTTCATTTCAGTTTCAAACAAAAACTTACGTTCTAAATCTTACGGATTAATTTTTATTTTTGTTTACAAAAAATTTTTTTTTAGCATTATATCTGATTATTTAACAGTTTGTATTTTTAAATATCATATGTAATCTTTATATATTATATGTTGAATATAATATCATATATTTAATTGGAAATTTGTATTTAAATATATTTTTTATAACTTTTTGTGACTATTATTTATTTATATTTTTGTGACTATTATATTATTTATATATGTATTTACTTTACACTTTTTGTGACTATTATATTATTTATATATGTATTTATTAATATTATATCTTTTTAACTACATATATATATATATATATATATATATATATATATATATATATATATATATATATATATATATATATATATATATATATATATATATATATATATATATATATATATTACTATATGTTCTTTATTCACTATATGTATTTTTAAATATTATATCTTCTTTTTTGACTAATTGAGGGTGTTTTTACTTTTAATGGATAAATCTTCTTTTTTCTTTATTTTTATTCTTAAATATTATATCTTCTTTTTTACTATTTCTTTTTTTTTCCTAAATTTTCGACTTGATTTATTAACCATATATTACCATATATTATTGTTATGATCTGTAGGGGCTCTATGAAAAGATTAGGTTGGTATTTTGCGATCCATATCTTCTTTGAGCCCCTGACTGTTTATTACTTGTACATTTGTAACTATATTTTATTTTTGGTGAAAGGAAATTGTAATTTATATAAACAGCAAAATTAAAAAAAATTAAAAAAAAATAAATAAAAAAAGACCGAAGTATCACAAAAAAGAAAAGTTAATTAGTACGATGCTGTTTTTGATGTTTTATAACTTATTAAAATACAATATTTCTAGGAGTTATATATACCTTCGTTATTCAAGTATAATCAACATAAGTACATTACTTGAATAATGAGGGTATATATAACCCTTAGAAATATTTTATTTTAATATTAACAATTTTATAAGGATAAGTTTACTTAATACTATAACAGATCATCTGTTATAGTATCATCATCTGTTATCATCATAAATTATAGTATCATCATATGTTATCATATTAAATTAATTTGAAATATCTGTTACAGATATGTCAAATTAATTTATTTATATAAAAACTTATCTAAGATGTTAACTTTTAAAACCATAAAGAAGTTATTAGAAAGACGACGTCAATAAAAACTATTTTGTTTTTTTATAATTTTCTTAAATAGTGATCTCCAACCATTCGAAGCAACTTTTATCACGTTACTTCTGTTCAGTAGTACCGGGCATAGTTTAACCTACTAAGATGTTTGCGTATAAATAATGTCAAACGATTGCCTTATTTTCCCATGGCATTTTTTGCAATGTTCAGTTGCTCCAGAAACATACCTATAGTCATTCATGCGATTAGTTTGGTGTTCTATATTCCTTTGCAAAATTCTCTTTTTTGTTTCACCAGTATAAAGACGTTATAAAGGCTCACAAGCCGAAAAAAAATTTTAAAATGCGAACAATAGCTTCTACCACCGACACTCCTCCGTATGGAACATATGGATATCTTGTTAAAAAGTACATACATATATATTTTTTAATAATAAACATATAAATTAATAATTAAAATAACAACCCTGCAATTATTAATGGAGTTTTTAAAGGGTCATACCACGAGTCATCAAAATTTGCTCCAAAAAATTAACAACGAGACTTTAAGTAAAAACAATCCTAACAATAAAAGTTAAAAAAAACTAGAAAATAGGGTTGCAATAATAAAACTACCTTGGGCAGCACTCGAAACAAAACTACGCAAAGCACTAAAACCATATGATGTCAAAATTATTTTTATAAAACTATCTAATTTAAAAATAATTCAATAATAACAACAAATTTAGGTTAATACGAAATAAATTTATAATAACAACAAATAAATCAATAATAACAACAAATTTAGGTTAATACGAAATAAATTTATAATAACAACAAATAAATCAATAATAACAACAAATTTAGGTTAATACGAAACAGCAACCTTAGGGTATAGTTAGTAGGATGCTGTTTTTAATGTATTATAATTTATTATAACTTTACGTACAACAAGAAATCTCGCTAAGACACTTAGTCGAATTAGAGAAATTCCTATTTACATATTCCTTAAAACTCTATTATTTTTCAATTGGAAGTTCAATGGAATAAAAATTCAATGGAATAAAAGAAGTTCAATGAAATAAAAATGGATAAAAAGGAGTTCAATGGAATAAAAATGTTTATGGGTAATTTTTTTTTTTACATTTTTTTAAATGTTGTTAGTTGTATTGTGTGTTTTTTTAATTTAAGTTTTTAATTCTTTTATTTGTAAAAATTTTAGCTGTAAAAATTTCTTCATTTTTCTTTATCGCGAAACTAGAGATGATATTTTAGTACGATTAAGTTTTGGCAAGGTTATTTTCAATTAAAATCACCATAAGGTTAGTAAGGCAATTTGGATTTAATGAAAGCAAGCTTACTAAAAGAGCGCTCTCCTTCAGCCACTAATACCGGAATTGTATAAAAAATGTTAAATGGGGCCGAGTTTGATAAAATATAGCCGTGGCCAGGGTCGGGTTTGTGACCGGGGCTGCAAAAAAATTTATACATACTAAAGCAAACTTTTTTTATTCAAAATTCATGTTATATTTTGTATATACATGCAAACATCTTTTGTATATACATGCAAACATTTTGTATATACATGTAAACATCATTACGATCAACATGATTATCATAGTTATCATCGCCATGGTCATCATTATGATCATGATCATCGCCATGATCATCATCATGACCATCATCATGATCATGATCATCATTATGATCATTATGATCATCATCATTATCATCGCCATCAGGCTTTAAAATTTCTTATTTAAACTGTTTTTATAATATAAACAACCTAGAGCATTTTCTTTCCTTAACTAAAGCTCATTTATACTATATGTAAGGCATTCTCTTTAAATTTTCTTACTTCTACCACTATCATTTTCTTATGAATCTGCTACCTCTACATGCTGATACCAATCACTACCTCTACATGCTCATACCAATCACTTTAATCTACCTCTACTTGCTGATACCAAGCACCTTTATCTTCTCTAAAAAACGTTGTTTGATACAAAGTTTTTTTCTAAATCTTCTCTTTTGGCAAACACTACACCATATAAATACTAAATTTTATATAACAATGAAATGATATTGTATGCCAGCATGTAAATAAATAGCAAACATATATCTCAATAATATGTATGCATAGGCGCATCTTGGAAGCTTTTATTCCTTCTGGAATGAATGTTTAAAAGCTTTTATTCCTTCTCTTTAATTTTAACTCATTCTATTCTACATTTTTTACCATCTTGAGCAGTTGCTTTATTAAATAGTAATCATTTAATTATCTTTTTTATAAGAATATCTCTTTTACGAACAAATATCCTTTTATTATTCCAAGAAGTCTCTGTTATTCTCAGTTTGCTAAATCTTGTACTTTATCTCAGATGTTAGGCTCGAGACTTTTAGTAAGTCTTCAATAGTATCATTAACTAAAGTAAGTCTAACATTTAATCTCTTATTCGTGGGTCTGATCTCTTTACTTCTCAAACCTTGAATAACATGAGGAGTCTTGACTTCAATTAAAAGAAAAGAAATAAAATATGAAACAAATTTCTTAATGCTTGTGATTTCTTAAGTGTTATCCAAAGTCTCAAACCTTGGATAGGGTAAGGTGTGACAAGAAGCCCACCATAAGCATCTTCGTCTTTTTTTTACTGATCCAATAAACGTATCTAGAAATTTATGTTACCATTATTTCAGATACATAATAAACTTAAGTATCTAAAGTTATTTTCTTAATGGCTACTCAAGTTTTAATGGAAATATGCTTTTTATAAACTGCTATAGAGTGGGCCTTTTACCCCAAACGTTAATAGCTTGAAATATTCCTTTTTTACAATAAAAATTTATTGCAACAATACACTTTTTACTAGTCACAATATATTTGTGTGTAAAAATGTCCTACAAAAGTTTTAGTAGAACACTTAGCACCATAATATTAGCAAGTAGCACCATATATGCTATCATATGACAATGGCAAACAGCACCGTAAAACTAATAGAGCTAAAAAGAGCTAAAAATTTATAGACTAAAAAGATAGCTATAAAAACTAATTTATAGAGCTGAAAAACACAGCTAAAAGCTAATTCATAGAGCTTAAAAGTTGCTAAAAAAAAACTAATTCATAGAGCTAAAAAGATATCTAAAAAAATAATTCATAACCCAAAAAGACAGCTAAAAAACTAATTCATACAGCTAAAAAGACAGCTAAAAAACTACAGTAAGACTAATTGAATTGATTATACCTATTGGCAGTGAAAGCAGACAGCAGTGTCATCAGGACCACAGCCGTCATGGTACCAGTTGAGACATTCTGGGCATTGCTGCCAGTCATCAATGGGTGGTTCGTTAAATCTTTTACCACACATGCAACATGGCGTATCATCACTGTTAGTAACAGAACCTACACATCTTCGTTCTTTTGACCCTTTTCTTATCACGTTAGCATTCGATGCGTTACTTTTGATTGTCCTTTTTGATTTTGTTCTTGCATATTGCTTCCTTTTCCCGGTTTCTTTGTCATCTCCACTTTTCGTTCTCTTGGATTTGTCTGCGATTACATCGATTTCGTCTTCATCATTTTCCTCATTATTATTTTCAACTACTACTTGCTTGTTCTGTTTTGTCTTCTTTGCATTTGCTTCAATTAACATTGCTTTATAAGGACTAGAAGTTATTACAGTTGGTGCTTCGGTTTTTCGTTTGCGACTGCGTACATTCTTTATCCTTGAAATAGGGCTTAGTTCTGATATAATCTGCAATGCTTTGGATAAACCAGGATGATCAGCTGTTTTATCTAGTTGATTTTCATCGGACTCATTGCTATCTCCTGTTGCAATCCTATCAGTCTCCATCACATTAACCGATGCTTCATCATCCACCGCATTGCCGGCTTCTTCATTTGTATTCGTAGGTTCACTTGTTTTGTTTCTAGCTAATAATGCTCTTTCCATCATTTGGATGTGTTTAACAAGATCTTGTTCAATTTCAGTACAAAAAGTATTCACATGATTTCCTAATTTATTGCTCCCAACTTGTCTTACTTTGCCCTGCAAATGCCTTTTCAATGTCTTCCTTGAAACTCCAAAACTGTTTTCAGCTTTACGCAAAGACATACCATTTTTTACTGAATCTAAAGCCCGTTGTAAACCTTCTGCTCCATAACTTCCTCTTTTTGTCTTCCTTTTGTAATTTCTAACCATATCTATAAATAAAATAAAGTTAAAATTTGAACATTCTACTTAAATAATGCAAGGGGTTAAAAGCTCAGGATGGGCCTTTTGCCCCATTAACAAACTGGGCTTTTTGCCCCAAAATGGTCGGTGCAAAAATTGATAAAAACATATTATTCTATGGTACAATGAACGTTATGTAAATAATCAATACATAATTTGTACGCTTACAAATACATAAACTCATTTAAATAATCAACTAAGTTTAACAATAATCTACAAAAAATTTTTTAAATTACGCAAAAAATCAAAATGTCCTATTCTTATTACCTGTCAAGTCTTCAATATTCTGTTAAAAATTATATTTCTACTAAAAGTTCACCAAAATTCGCTCGCAACACTGTTACACATTTATCATTCATACTACAAAACAATAATTATAATATTTTACCTAGGTTCTTTATAACTGCAGGATGGGCCTTTTACCCCACCTGGGCCTCTTGCCCCACCCTACCCTATCGGAAAAAAACATAGTTAAGATAAAACCTTTTTGTGCTAATAAGATAGTATTATAGAAAATAAAGAAATTATGGCAGCAATGGAACTTTCTAATGAAACTAGAAAAAAAGTATTGGAAGAAATCTACTCAGTATGCAAAAAAGAAACGGAGTTAATGTTTAAAGAACAAGAAAAAAACTTGATAAGCATAATAAGTGTAAATACCAAAATGACTAACGATCGAATGGCTAAAGTTGAAAAGGATACTCACAAAAATGCTAAAATAATCAAGTCGCTTAAAAGTAAAGTAGCGAGTATCGTAGAAAGTTTAAATTTCCACAAAGAAATTTTTTATAGAAAAATTAAAACATTATCTGATTTTCACGAGAAAGACAATGTTTTAAGCAAAGGAGCGATAAAAACTTATAACGATAATGTCGAGGTAATGAACAGTACAAATATAGAATCTGTACGTTATTAAACACTCGGATAGACGAGCTTAACAAAAAGCTAAAGAGTGCACCATTATCCAACAAATTAGAATCAATTGCAACCATATTTAAGAGTAAATCAGATGAGGAAGTCCAACATCGCCATCGACTAATCAACATCGTTATGGCTGAAACTGAAAATCGACAAAACCGGGCATCTAATGTCATAATCGTAGGGCTACCCAAATCAGATGATTACGACAATATAATAGCTGCAAACAAGTTTTCAACGCATGTGGAGTTGGCAGTGCCAAAATAGGCTACATCAGCAGAATAAAATCTAGCAAAATAAACAACACAATCCATAACTCCAACATAGTCAAGGTCTTTTTAATAAATGAACAATCTCAATCAGAAGTGCTTTAGAAATGTAGTCACCATAATATTGCTGAATTCAAAGGAATTTTCTGTCGTGAAGATCGAACTCGTTCACAAAAGGAGGCATTCAATGAGCTACGAAGTAAAATGAAAAAACATAACGACGAACTATATGCTGCGGATGTACTTGACAAACCATTTCGGAATGTTATCCTCAAGCGTACCGGAGAAATCTGCTGCATTGATTTTCAAAAGTCAAATGAACTACATAAATATGCCTTTGCCTCCCCAGCAAGCACCCTTGCATCGCACCGCAAACGTCTTCTCACAACCGTGTAAACTGCAACCACATAATATAAGCCCAATCCCACAAACCAAAGCAAAACGTAAACAACATTTGCCAAATAACTCATTACAAGACCTGCAGTTACAGGCTACTTCGCCACGTTTAAAGTTACCTTCTTCCGCTTCTAGGCAAATAACCCATGCTCATTAAACAGCGAAAAACTCCATGAACTTGTAGCAAGACTTACTTCTATTGACAAATAGTATTTTCTGAAACTTGGTTCAGTGCTACGTCAGACACTGCCATTGCTGGCTATCAGCTGCATAACACAGACCGTGATGGTAGAGGGGACGGTGTTGCAATCTACATCATAGATGGCCTCGCTAGCAGCAAGATTACCGACGTCACACTCACCTCGACATCCGTAGTACAAATCTGGAACATAATACATTTTGAAAACGAATCAATACTTCTTAGTTGTATGTATCGCCCAATAGATAAAAACGATGACACGCTCACTCAGATTCTTTCTTCTATTAAAGCAGCGCTACAGATATTGCCAAAATTAAAGTGTTCAACAATGTTTTTGTATGATGATTTTAATTTTAGCCACATCAGTTATAAATCACGCAATGTTGGTGGTGGTGTAGAAACAACCGCTCTGTTACTGAACAACGTCCCGGTGATATCAAATTCTAAGAGTGTCTTAAAGACTGCTATTTAACTCAACTAGTAACATTCCCAACATACCGCAATAACATGCTTGCAACTCCATGTTGCACGCTTGACCTCATCATCACTAATAATCCTGATTGCCTAATCTCAATAAACAAAGGAAATTCGCTTGGACATACACCGATGGGAAAAGCTCACTGTCTTTTAGTCGGTCTTTTTGCAATATACTTCAACAAGAACAAACTAACATCTCATAGTCGCCGACTGCTTATCTGGAGTAAAGCAAATTTTGATGCAATCTCATTACATATAATTTCTAAAGAAATACCAACCAAGCTCTCTGCAAACGATTTGCACAGTTGGTTTATTGACGTATACAACGAAGCTGTAAAATTGCACATTCCATCAATAACGACTCCATTTAAAATTAAGCGAGATCTTTGGTAGTAAAATTAGCAGTAAAATTAAAACGTTCAACTTGGGCAAAATACGATGTTGCAGGTTCTCATGCAAAACTACGTAATGAACATCAGGCTGCATGCAAACACGTTAAAAAAGTGGTCAATGCAACTGTCCTTCATTACGAACAACAACTAGTAAGCAGTATGAAACATTGTACACTACACAATCTAATTTCAAAATCTCAGAATGGATTTGTAAATCACAGAGGTTGTCTTACAAATTTAATTGAAACCCATGACATTCTCACGGAAGCAGCTTACCGTGGACACATTGTTGACATAATATTTACAGACTTTGCCAAAGCTTTTGATACAGTACCACACAAAAGACTCCTTCACAAGATTCAGGCCTACGGCATTAGAGGCCAGCTATTCCACTGGATCTCTGCTTGGCTAAGTGAAAGAAAACAACGTGTAGTTATTGGGGAACAAACTTCCGAGTGGAAAAGAGTTGCAAGTGGAGTCCCTCAAGGATCAGTTTTTAGACCACTGCTATTTGTGCTTTTTGTCAATGACTATCCAGATGGCATTATCAATTATACCAAGTTATACGCCTATGATAGCAAGATCATAGAAATTATAAATAATAATCAATCATCTTCTGATTATAAATCACTGCAAACGGACATTGACAACACTGTATATTGGTCACATAAATGACTTATGTACTTCAACGTCGAGAAGTGCAAAGTAATGCAAACTAAAACTAATTAACGTTGAAACTAATTGACGTTAGTTGCCGCAAAAATAAATCAACACATACCTATACCATGACAGACATCAACGGTAACCGATATAACTTATCTCCAACGTACATTGAGCACGAGTTCGGATATTAGTACCCTTGGGGTACTAATATCCGACAACCTCAAAGTGAAAGTACAAGTAGAAGCAGCAGCTTCGGCCGGAAATCGAATGCTTCGTCGCCTCAAAAAGACATTTCGATGCGGTAGCCTCCAGTTTTGGAAGAAATTGTACCAGCTATACGTTCGACCGCATCTAGAGTATTGCGTACAAACATGGTCTCCACATCTTAAAGCGGAAATCGTCCTTCTCGAACGTGTGCAAAAACGTGCAACAAAAGTTATATCATCGATTAAACATTTTAGTTACGAAAAACGACTACAACTACTAGATCTAACCACGCTGGAAGAACGCAGAATTCGCAGTGACCTTATACTGCAATACAAAATTGCTCATCAGTTACAAGAAGTTAAATTTTACATACCACAAGCCCGGCTTTTTTTCACGATATAATCTGAAAAGAAACAGCCGATGTTTAAAACCACAACTTATCAAGAGAAATTCAGAACGTCACACTTCTTTACAAACCGAGTTACTAACCAATGGAATAAATTAGCTCAGAATGTAGTTGATGCACCCACTGTGCACTTTTTTAAAAAACACGTTTAAAATGCTGCTTCGGCTGCAGCATTGTCGATTGTCAGCTTTGGAAAACCTAATGTGTTTCCCTTCATCAATGCAATCAAGAAGTTGTATTGATTACTGTAATAAATAAATTAAAATTATTATCAATTATTTGTGAATGTAAAATTTATATTAAAAAAAAAAATTATAGGGGAAAGGCACACTTAACTTTGAAGCTTCGTTATTCAGTACCCTGAAGACCAATAATAAAAGTTTTGATATGGATACATTCCTTGTTATGTGTAGAACAATAATAATCTTCGGAGTTTTCATCAGTTTCTTTTATAAGTTACTCCTATTTAAAAAAAAAAGCACAAGTATACCATCATAGGCAACCGCTGCTCCTATGATGGCATAGGGGAGAATGGGGCTGGTTAGGATCAAAAGTAACTTGATGATTTCATTTAACCTTACAGTCTTTTCTTAGCAAAGCCAGAAATTACTTGGAACCATTCTAGTTTACCATTTGATGCTACACAGCAGCATTGTAAAATTTTGCGCATGCGCATCAGAGATAATGCGTTTTATGTATTTTTTGGACCAAAAATAAAACTTTTTGAGCATCTTTTATTTTTACTTTACTTTAAAATTAAGTTTTTCGTATAAAAAAAAGAGGTTTTTCTAACTTGTCAATATAACACACCCAACTCGTCAGTATGCTAACATGGGAAGAAGTCATCATTTTCGTTAAAACAAGCTATGTCTCCCTTGTTCAAAAGTTAAAATTAAAGTAAGTATTGCACTAAATGCACAAAACTTGGATATAAAATGCATGAAAATTCCTTTTCTGCACAGTTAATAATAAAATCACAATCTTAAAAATGCGAAGGGAATAAAACAACAACAGCACATCCCAAATTCGAGTTTTGTTGATTATAAAAAAAATATTTGTGCACATGGGACGTATTTTCACTAAAACTAGTGTAAAGCTTGTATAGTCATGTAGGTCTAATCACTTTTTCACCAAAACTAATTTTTATGGAAATATGACCGGTATGCCATCATAGGCGCCTTTCCCCTATATACAATAATATATATACAAATAATATACAATAATATATATACAAAATGTATGTGTGTGTGTATATATATATGTATGTGTGTAAGTGTGTATATTTATGTATGTATGTGTATACATATAAACAAAATTAAAAAAAAAATTATCAGATCGGAACACATTGGTCAAAATAGAAAATTTTCAATATCTACGTCTTTATTGCTTGTCAAGAATATGAGACGATTTATTTCTTTTTATTGCTTGTCAAGAATTTGAGACAATTTATTAGAAAGAGATGATTTAAATAAAGAAAAAAACTGAAGAACAAACTTTAAGAAAAGAAGAAAAAAGAAGAAAAAGAGTAAAAATTTTTTTAAAAACTCGAGATTTGGATAAATGTTTAACAGCCGAAAATAACTGAGAATTTGAACACATTTTTAACTCAGTTCATAGACACTAAGGAATGTGGTGCTGATGTTTAACAAATATTTTGTAGTTCAAAACTACACGCAATAGAAATTAACACACAATATTTGAAACGCAAGAAACACACAATTCTCGAAACATACTAAAACCCTCGAAAAAACTCGAAAAAAAAGCAACTCAAAAAAAAAGCAATTAAATGGATCCTCCTACCAAAATACTTACCGATTAAACAACTTTGTGAATAACAATGTTAAACTCTACTTTAGACAAATATATAATCACTAAATTTCTACAAGCGAAGTCACTCAATTTACTGTAAACATTTTAATTAGATTTAATTAAAGTAAACATTTTACAACAAATTTTAGATTTAGTAATTATTTTATAAACGCAACTGTAATTACCATTAACATTAATCACCACTAACAAGTTAAACACAAGATAAAAATGTAAACTATTTTACTAATATATATATATATATATATATATATATATATATATATATATATATATATATATATATATATATATACATATATATATATATATATATATATACATATATATATATATATATATATATATATATATATATATATATATATATATATATATATATATATATATATATATATATAAAATAAAAACTAAAAAAAAAAAAAAAGCTGACACAAGTTGGATGGTTATCAGCAATCAATGAGCAAATCTTAAAACCAGCAGATCTTAATATATTTAAACTTTCTTCTATGCCATTTTTAATAAAATTTCCAGTGACATAAGTCTCTGGGATTTGCTTTAATTATATAAGGGATTTTTTGAGACTAATAATCATAAACACAGTTAATCCTTTGTAGAAATTACCTTAAGTATCTTGTTAAAATAATTTACCACTTTTTTTATTTTTCCTTCATTTAATAATAGTTTTAATAATTTTATCAAATCAATTCCACCAGATATAACTTTTCCAATATTGACATTGATGGGAACGAAAGTTGTTTAAAAAAAAAGCGATCAAGCCTTAGATGATAAATATTTTTGCATTAACGCAAAGCGTAATATTTCTAAAGAATTTCAAGGATGACCTTTATATTTGTAAAAGACTAATTTGGACCGTTCATTAAATAAACAATAAGAATTCTCTTCAACAAGGTTGTGCATATAAGACACCAGGTTATTTAAAATTGACAAACGTTTTAGCTTACAATAGTCAACTTTCATATCTCTGAAAACCCATTTGGAAAATTAGATTCATGAAGCGTATCAATATTTTTTTATTTTGTCCATTTCTTCAAATGTATCAACTTTATCTGGAATAAAGGAAACTCGCTCAGTTGAAGGTTTTCAAAAGTTAAAAAATTTAAGCTTTATAGAAGATGAAACGCAAATTTCATCAAAATAAATGAATGGAAAGTGGTTTAACTCGTGTCTTAAAGTACCCCTTTTCCCCATGTTTTTAGATACTTTGTTTCAAAATGAAATAAACATGAAACTGAATGCTTACTTCCCTTCCAATTTTGTCTGTTAATAAATTTTATCCATTTTACTTCTAAAATAGTCTTTTTAGGAAAATTAAAAATAGCTTTACTTCCAAAAAAGAACTAAATTCCCGTTTTTTTAATTTATAGTCTGGCCTTCTAATTTTCGGCCTATTTATGTAAGATATTCATTGGTAGGCTATGAAAGTAGGCCATGGATGGATTCTCCTTTAAACAGATAGCGACCAACAATATGGATTCTTATTGGTATCAAGGAGGTATATTAGACTAGCTTGAGAAAGAACAAAGCCAAAAATCGTTAAAAATCTACAAAGCGGCAAAGTGGTGCCTTTCACTTAAAAAAATTTGATTTTAAAAAGGAAAATATTTAAGTGTAGCATCTAACCTTTGAAAGTTTTAATCAAAGTGGATTATTCTCTGACTCTCCAACTTAAAAGTTGACTGGATTTTTCACAATTGTTCAAACTATCAAGAAGTAATCACAACAAAAATCACTATCTACTTAAAGTAATCTTGATACTAGGTATAATCTTGATACTAGGTATATATATAAAAGTTTTAGACAATTTCTACTACTTGTTTGAACCTTATCTTTTTCTTCCCCGTTTCGTTATAGGTTTATTACGTTTTAAAATAACGTTTTTTACGTTCTTAAAGAACGTTTTTGTGTTGTAGTATTTTTGAAGAATTTATGAACGATATTTCATTAACTTGATTCTTGAAATATACTTGATACGTATATTTCATTAACTTGATTCTTGTTTCATTCAAATCTAATAAATTATTTTTATTTGTTTCTTATAATTTTATTTATTGCAAATTTTAACCTGCTTAATATTTGTACACAAAATGTTTTAAATTTTTTTATTTAGATTAAAATTGAAATATTTTCTGCATTAGGCATCCTATACTTTTAAATTGTTTAAAATTTAAGTAACATTTAAAATGAGACTATCCTATTTTCAGAGGCAGGTAATATTTTTGATGAAAAAAGAAGTCGTTTATAGCCCTAAACTGGATAGCAACTTCTTTTCCACCATTATGTTCCTAATCTTCTAAAAATCCTTACATAATTCATTACTTTAAATAAAATTACATTATATTTGTTATCAGTTTTGTATTTTTTACCAAGGTTTACCTATATTTTTCTTTATTGCCCTGTAGGACAAAGATTTTTTTATTTAATTTACACAGTTTGTGTCTCACATGTCTTAAAAAATAAATTCCGGCATTCCGGCCTGAAAAATTTTAATTCCAGCCGGAACCGGAATGACCTAAAATTCACAAAATCCAGCCGGAATTCCGGCTACATCCCTACAATAAACTAACTCTAAAAAAAACTAAATATTGTTTACGACTTTTTGAATTTCCATCTTTTATTTACAATACTTCAATAGGTTATGAGGTTTTCAAACAATATAATTGGATAATTTTTTTAATAAATGGAACATGATTGGTTAACTTTAAATTGTGATAATTACAGGGTATATAATTGAAAAATAAGCTACCACTAAGACTGTACCTTAAAAAATGAAGTATTTTTAATTCGCTATCACTCCGGCTATATTATTAATCTTTTGATGGTATCTTGCTGTTATCTTCTAGTGATCACCCTTACGGAAATATTCCATGGAAAACCCATGGAATTCCATGAGTAAACCATGGTTTTCCCATGAAAAACGGGAATTCCATGGAATTTCCATGGGTAAATTTCATGAAAATTGAAATCCTATGGAATTTCCATGGGTGAACCATGTTTTTTTTTTCATAGCTTAAGCTGCGCCATGGTTGTTACAAATGCGCTTTTAAAGATGGCGTCATAGCTCGTAGAGTTATGATTATTTTTAAATTAGAAAACAATACTTACTGCATTCTTCTGTTTTTCTGTGTTTAATAAGGCTATGAATTACATGTTTTTTATAATGCAATACATTTATATGTTTTAACTAAACATACAGACATAAACAACTAGATATATTTATCATATAATGCATTATAAAAGGGATTATTTTTAATTATATTTTATTATATATCATTTATGCATATACTTATTTTAACTGTTTCCAGTAGCTTTGCTTACTTTGCATAACTTGCAATAGTATAGCAAGTATGTCAAGTAAACCAGTTTGAATTTTAATGCCTACTTGGCAAATTATTTGCCAAATAATTATTATTTGGTTTACAACAAATAAATGTTTAGTTTTAATCTACATTAAATAACCAGTGTATTAATGTACATAGTGTAATTTAATGTACATTCAAACTAGTATAATTATTATTATAAAATTTATCGAACGTATTAAAGAAACTTATTTAAAATATTAATATACAAGCAGTATATTAGATAAGATTAGATAACTAAGATAATAAGATTAGATAACTAATGTACAAAAGATAACTAGTATGATCTTTTTTATTATTTTTTTTTATAATAGCCTTAGATTACATAAAAATGCTTGAAGTTTATTGTATCGTAAATGTTCATTAAGTATTAAAAAACATTTTTTTATGATAAATGTTCTATTCAATTTTAGTTCTGTTAAGTTGTTTTTGTCTTTTTGTTGTAGTTTTTTCTTTAGAATTATTAGAATATGTAAATAATGTAATATAAATAATGTTTATAAATTCTTTTATATTTACTTTATTATTTCATTTAAATTACTACATTATAAGCCAACAGGTTTGACTGGCAATATAAATAATGTTGTTCATCGTTTATATTGTTTATAACATCGTCAGTTTTTATATGCATTTAATATTTTTAAAAATAGTTCAAAGGCTGTCAAAATAAAATGGTGAATTGAGTTTAAACCAGAAAAGATATAAACGTAATCTTTGGGATTCAACTTGTAAGGATGTTCCAAGAACCACTTAGTTGGAGAAGGAAAACTGTGGTAATATTTTATAAGTATCAGTAAGGGAATTTACTTAATGCACAAGATTTTACTTCATAGTTAAATATAAGCATATAAAAGCAATGTTTATAAATAATACACTATTATTTATTATAATACAATTATTTTTATTTGTTTATATTTAACTGATGTAAAGTGCTCGTCTTTAGTTAAAATAAATTAATTTTTGCACACACTTTGATATTTACTATGCTTTTACATTACTATACTTTATAAATTACATATTTGTTATGTTTTAAATAGTGAAGTAAAAATATAATAAATTTTTGAATTTAATGGTATGTGCGTAAGTTCTTTTATTTTAACTTTATCATTTTATTTAAATTACTGCATTATAAGCAGGTAAGTTTGACTGACAATATAAATAATGTTGTACATCATGCAGACAGCTCAGACAAAGAAGTAAGTTTTTACTTAAAATTACAATTTATAAGTTATACTATATTTGTTGCTGCCTTATTCTATATAAATGTTACTAACATGCAGGTAAAATTTATATATGTGTATAAATCTTTTCATTTTAACCTTATCATTTCATTTAAATATAAATTTTTAATTTATTTATTTAGCCGTTCATTAACAAGTCCTGTGCTTTATAATATATTAAAAAATGGAAGGACGTGAAGAAAACAGGTTTGTAAATGATGTTGTACATCATGCAGATAGCTCAGAAGAAGAAGTAAGTTTTTTTTTTAATTACAAAAGTAAATATATAATATAATATTTGTTGCTGCCTTGTTCTATATAAATGTTTCTAACATGCAGGTAACATTTATATATGTATTAGTTTGAATAAATCATTTTAATAAAGTTACATTATAGGCAGGAATGTTTGACTGGAAATATAAACGATGTTGTACATAATGCAGATAGCTTAGGCAAAAAAGAGGTAACAATCTAATAATTTGTATTTATAAATAATGATATATTCATTGCTACTTTTTTCTATATACCTAACATTTGGCAACATTCATAATTGTGTATAATGCCTAATTATAAAGTAAGTTATAATAGATAATAATTATAAGTAAAATGAATTAGTAAATAAAGAAAACTAGTTAGAATGTATATAATAGTTGTATGATGTATTGTCTAGATTGGTGAAATGGAGAATGAGACTAACTAGGGTGAAAAAAAATGAATATTAATATGTGAATGGTACTTTGTTTAACATCTACCTGTTTCTACAGATACAGTACAGACGCATTTATAAATGGGCTTGATGTTTTTTTGAATTAAATATGTTGTATTGATGGTTCTTTTTAACTTGTTAAAACTTGAAGTTATTATCAAATTTATATATACTATTTTTATCAAATAGTTAATATAAAATAATAAACATGTAAATTGTTTTATTTTTTGTAAAAATTGTTTTCTTGATAAATTTCAATTGTTTATCACTATGTATATCACTTATAGTATTACATTACTTGTAATTTTTTGTTTTATTTATTTTCAGTATGTTATACATATGCGTGCATTAAATATTGTGGGGAAGTCAAGTTTTGATGTTTTAGGTGCATTATAGCTATTATTTTTCAAAGATTTGTAGGATTTAACAAGATTTAAATTTTATTTTGTTTATTGATTTTATTTGAAGAAAGCGATCTCATAGATTAAGAGAACTCAATAATAGTGGGATAAAATTTGCTTTTATGATTTAATATGACAATTCAAATAACATTAGATAAAAAACTTGAAAACAAATCATGCTTTTTTACCATGAAAAATCCATAAGTTTTCATTGGAAAGGTGTTCCTAATACCTATGGAAATTCCATGGTTTTTCCATGGATGGAAAATCATTGAATATCCATGGTATTTGGAACACTTTTCCATGAAAAACTTAAAGATTTTTCATGGGAAATTCATGTTTTCCATGGAGAACTCATGGTTTTTCCATGGAAAACTCATGGTTTTTCCATGGAAAACTCATGGTTTTTTCATGGAAAACTCATGGTTTTTTCATGGGAACGTGTTCCAAATACCCATGGTTTTTCCATGGGTTTTTTTTCTAAAATTCCCATGGGAAATTTTCGTACGGGCAGGGCCGACAAGCCGGATTGTACCCATCCACAAAACCCGTGTCGTCGGCCATGGTGATTGTTCTTCTAGTGGAACAGTTCTTCTTTTCCTATTTGAATTAAAATCGCACGAGATTCTTTATCGAGACTGACTTGTTTCATTCAGTAGTGGAAACACTTTTCTTCTAGGAAATACTTAAATATATTTATAAATATATTATTATAATACTTAAATATATTTCTGTACTTCTATGTTATTTGCTTGCCATATGGTGCATACAGATTCATATATAACTATTAGGCGTAGCTCAGTCGGGTAACTTATATAGTCTAAATCTTGCTAATTTCCATAAACTTCTAGAAGACTCCAGAAAATTTATAAAAAGTTTTCAAGATTTCTAAAAACATTAAGAACATTTCAGAAAATTCTTGAAAGTTTCATAAGATTCAAGAAAATTCTAGGTTTCAGAAAGTCTTAATGTAAATGCTAACTATATACCAATTCTAAAGTTTCGTGCCTTTTAAATTAATTTTGTTATCGCTTCCCATGATAAAAATCCGGCTGGTGCCAAATCTTATATATTTTTCTTTCGTGAAACATTAATAAAATTATGTATGTAAAATTGTATTTAAACTTGTAGTTTTTCTAATTTATATTTAAACAAATAGAAAATGTTTTTAATTTTAAAAACAATATATATTATTTTTAATGCTTTTATTCGTCTGTAAGTATTCTAATATTATATATTTGTGCACCCGTGGTATAATAGTTAGAGTTCTATCTTCAGAGCTAAATGTGCGCGGTTCCTAGCCGGCTCTGACCATATATGCAACATTGGTGAGGAAGAATGCGTGAACTTCAAGGTTAAATGCTATTGCGTGGCGCTCTGTAATAAAGGATCGTCTATAAATTACGCAAAGTTAAATTTTACTAATAAACAAAACAAAAAAGATAAAAAATATTCCTTCGGAGAGCCTAAAGTTGTATTAAAATATTCTTTCGGAGAGCCTAAAGTTGTATTAAAAATAAAAATAAAGCAACAAGTTTAATGAAAACCACCACGTTGAAGAACCTGAGATTTCCTACTTCTGTTTTTTAAATAAAATTAGTGTTGAGTAATTTATGGACGATCCCTAAGACCATTTTGAACTTTTTAGAGCACCCAATTCAGTTAAATATGTTGAAAGGTTCAAATTAAATTCTATTTTAAAAAAAAAAAACCTGCTGAGTTTTTATAATTAATCTCAAATAAACATAACTAATTTCATCTTTAAGACACCCAACTTCTCATAAATTTACATTACAACATTAATAAGCTTAAAATGTTGAAGAATCTTAAATATTTTATATCAAGTGATGAATATTAAATTCACTTTTTTAAATGTTAGCAAAGTAGAGTTCTATAATACCTAAATTACCAAGCAACATTAGTTAATTGTTCTAATACCACTGTTATATAACTTACCTTCATTATTTTCAATCACAATGATTTTACTGACATCAATCCCATCTGAACTATCAATCAAATATTTAATTTGCATAAATATTAATTCAATAATAATAAAATGAAACAAAGAGTTAATTAAAGTGACAACCGCTTTTCAATTTTTACTACACTTAGAGATTTACTTTTCTCTCTTTTAATCGTCTCGGCAACGTGATAATCTAAAAACACAATAAGAAAACATTCAAAACTAAAGCATTTCATAGCAAACTAATTAATATCTAATCTACTACTAATGTTCTTTGTAATAAAACGTTATAATTAAGCGTTCTTATAGCTTTTCTAACATACACATATTAATAATAGTAAAAAACACCATGTTTTCATTACTATTGCAATAAAATTGTTAATGTTAATGCATTGTTGATGTTTGTTAGCGCACATTATGATTTTACAATTTCTTGCTGATTTCTTCCAGTGTAATCTACATTTATAACACAAGGACTTAAAATAAAAAAAAGGTACACGTCACTGATTAGAAAAAATAGGTAGAGGTATCAATATAAGCTATCTAAGAAATTATTATACCTTTTTACTGAAGCGTTTTCAATAAATTTATTTTAATTTGAAGTCTTTTGTGAAATCCACAAAGAGGAACTCCATTCATATTTTAAGAAAATTTCCATATTAATTGATCACAATCTTTAAGAAAAATGGCAAACTTCCTCTCTAAGTGGTATTAAAACTATAATTAGAATAAAAAATTTTGATATTGAGAATTCCTTATGTCTCCTTGAAGAACTGCACCCATAAATAAAACTATTTGCTACCGGCATTCAGAGTATTGAATGAGTAAAACGCAATTTTAAAAAGCGTTTTGTATAATATAACGCCATTTTGAATGTTTTCTAATTCGCAGTAAGAGCTAGATTTTTTAAATTATTCACAAAGAAGTCCGAGGATTTATTAAAATCTTGCCTTTGTAAGAAAAACTTTTTTTTTTTGGTTGACAATATACTTCAAATCTTTCAAAAAGTTTTTTAACAGGGATAATCATTTTTAATTTTGTTCCAAGTCCATGGGTGGAATGCAAGAAGCGAACATGAAATTTCAAGTTATACACCAAATCTGAGGTCTGACTAAAATGTTATGCAAGAAACAAACTTAAAATGAAATTGTTCTTGAAAAATCTGGTTTCAAGTCGTTTTTTTAATTTCGGTACCGACCAGTCTTGAAATCAAACTTGAAATAAAAAAAATAAACTGCCATTATCATTTTGTAACTATGTGGTAAAAGGTTACGTATAATTTTTGTCAATTTAATCACTTCATGAGTGAATTACTAATGAATCATTATTTTATACTATATAAATACATTTCACCAGTACAACAACTGTCAATTGTATGTCGGTTTTAAGTTACTGGTTCATTACAGGTGAGAAAGTATTTATGTTATCACTATAATTATATTATAATAACTAATATATATATATATATATATATATATATATATATATATATATATATATATATATATATATATATATATATATATATAACTGAAAAATATATAATCGTTAGAAGTAAATAAAGATATTTTCTAGAGAAAAAATAATTTCTTTTAATTTTTGTTTGAAGTAATTATACGTCAAATTAATAGAAAACTCTATAATAAGTATAACTATTTTGTTCCATAAATATAGACGACGATAAGAAATACAAAATTGAGTATACTTATTCCGACAAAAAGGGGCATTAAGATAATTATCAGTACGTAAATCATACTTATTTTTGGGTTTTATTACCAAATATTTTTAAATACACAAGGAGATTAGTTTTGTTTACATTTAAACATATAAAATAAAATGTTATAAACGTTTAGTTGGTAAATATTTAAGACTTTCATTTCCTGCAGAAGTGGCATAGAGGGCGTAAAACAGTTTTTAAAATTTATTGCGCGTTTTTAAAATTTATTAACTTTTTCTCTTTTAATAACGATATTGTCATTAAAAAGGTAAGGCATTAGAGTTGGCAATGTTATTTTTTTTGAGCGTGGATGGAAAAGTGTCCATTTAGTTTTGTCAATGTTTAGAGATTTATTTATTTATTTTAAACCAATAAGAAACTTTTTTAAGCTCATTTGTCATGTTATTGAAAAGTATATTTGTATTTTCATGAGATAAAAACAAGTTTGTGTCATCAGCAAAGATTATCGATGTTAAGTTTGAGGTTTTGTTAAGATCATTAATATATATTAAAAAGAGAAGTGGTCCAGGATCCTTGCGGAACACCGCATGTAATATTCAATAAAATCTGAGAGTCAGAGTTTTTATTGTAAACATATTGTTTGCAATTAGTTAAATAGCTTTTGAACCAGTTTAATACTTTATCCATTATACCATTAGATACTAGTTTTTTAACAAAATCTCGTGATCAACAGTCTCAAAAGCCTTGGACAGGTCTATAAAGACTCCTAATGTAAATTGATCGTTTTTAAAAGATTCAGAGATGTTGCGTGTAAGTTAGAGAATAGCGTGCTCAGTTGAATTGTTTCTTTTAAACCCAAATTGATTTTCATCAAGCAACTTATTGTCAATAAGGTATCTATAGATTCGATTATTCATTATCCTCTCAAATATTTGAAAGGGTAAGAGCTACAAACTCTACGTAGTTTGGACTCGTCACTCTTTAAGTGTACAGCACTATTATATATATATATATATATATATATATATATATATATATATATATATATATAATATATATATATAATAGTGCTGTACACT